AATTACAGAACATCAACGCTTTATCCCCCTTTTATACCAAGTCATAGCACCATCATTCATTAACCATCAACATCAACTTTTGGCGGATCGCTGGTCATCTTTACAGGTGAGTGACCATTGAGTGTAGGGTCTCGTCTGCTTGGCTGATCTGCTTGATATCTCCTCATGTCTGTCTGCCAGACAATGCACTTAAACGACAGGTGAGTGCGAATTTTATTGATTCGCTGGTATCGATTTTGGGTGCGAACAGCTAATCGGAAGTGATTTTTGTTTTGTAACCAATGATTATCGATTATCTCTTGTTGTTGTTTTTTAATACGTTGTGGATATGTGTGGGGATAACATGTTTTATGGTGCGTGCGTGTGTTTTGTTTATTTAACCCCTTGGGTGTTATTTTATGCGGAAAATGAACTTTAATAGTGTGTGTATTACTTGTATGGCGCTCTATGTTTTTTTTTTTGCTTTAATAAAAGTGTAAATGTAACACTTTCGTTATGGAAAAAAGAAAACCAATTGTCGGTGCGGAAAAAATGGAAATGCAGTTTTGAAATTTCGAACACTATCTTTTTAGAATTTACAATTTAACAAGCAAAAAGGCAGTAAAATTCTGCCGGGGCGAGTCGTTAGATCCACATTTTCAAATACATTTTTGTACATAATTAAAAAATATATATAAAATAGAAGGTCATCCTAAAAATTCAAAGTTAATGGTACTAAATTTATTAAATTTGCTTTGTTATCGAATCTAAAAAAAATATTTTGCATTAATTTCAGAATTCTTTTGGTTCCTTTTTTACGAATTTCCAAAAATTCGTAGACATCTCGGACATATATTTTAAGTATATATCGTTAGCTAAAATACAAAAAGGCGTAACTAACAAAAGCATAATTGTGTAGGAGAAGCAAAAAACTGTTTTGAATGAAAACTATAAACATGTCATGTGAAATGAAAAAGTATGCCCGGCAGGGTGATATTGCTTATGACGAATAATATACTATAATTTTTTGTTTAACAAATTTAGTTATTTAGTTTAATGACAGTCATAACAATTAAGTAGAAACGTGAAATTTTTGTTAGTTACGCCTTTTTGCATTTATCAATAAACTCACTTGTAGTTACGTCTTTTTGTTTTTTGTTAAAGAAGCTCCTTTTTTGACCGCAGCCGTGTAAAACTTTGTCAACACATGTAGTTTATTGACATTCACAATATTCATTCAAAAAGTCAATTTTCAATTTTTTGTTAGTTACGCCTTTTTGCATTTAAGCTGGTCAGAAGTGCGACTACATACATACATATCGTATGTAGGTAGTCGCACTTCTGACCATTGCCATTGACAGTAGTCATTCATAACATTGCCAAACGATGGAAAACAATTACCTTCTTTTTACAGTTTTTTTCTTTTTGTCTTTAGGATATACCATTAAAAATTCTCTTTTCCCAAAGCTATTTGGAAAATGTGTATAACAAAGAGGAAATAGTTTTGAAATTAAATCGTTAAAAATTTGCTAAATTTGCCATAAAGCAAAACATAAAGCTTCTGGTATTCAGCAGCGACTACTGAGAAATGGTCACAATCAGTAGCTATTTGTTGGATTTGTATCGCTCATAATCCATGGAAGGCCAGGCGGCAGATGGGGATAGGCAAAGGTTTGGCAAATGAATGGAAGTACTAGCACTAAGTTTATCGCCTAAAAAGATTTTTTAGCAATAAATAAACAATTTTCATTCATACCTATTTCGTTGGGAACCTTAAGAAATATTTGCAATTCCACTCAAAGAAAATTGACTGTAATGCAGCCAAGTTTACAGAATAAACAATATTTTAGTTATTCAAAGTAAATCTTTAGTTATTTAATATTGTTTTACAGAATTATTAGGTTTGAAATATTGCGGCTATGTAGATTCGAATAATTAATTTTTCTATTGTTTACACTATACTATGCATTCTAAAAATATTTTAAAATTAAAAAAGACTATAATATTTTTTTCGAGTTTAAAATTGGTAACATTCATCCAATATCAATGGATCTTCTTCTTGTGTTCAACTTAGGCAAAATGAAGTGAGACAAGCGTTAAATCGATACCAACATTTATGAGTAATTTTTATGGCGAAGTATTTAAGTTTTCAGTTGTTTCTTTTATTGTTTCCACAATCTCCGATCTTAGCCATTGTTTTAAAGCACATCTGCGTAGCTTCTATGTATCCAGTCAATTTCTTAATGTGTCGGAAGGCGAAACAAAATAAAATTAACTATTGCAATTAAAGGAGATAAGTGAATAGTTTTTATTGTTGTCAGGATGCCTAAGGTGTGAGTTCTATCGGTTAGAAAACTCTAAATAGAGTTTCATTTAAATAGAAGATCATATATTTGTATTGAAGATGCTATACCATTTTTTAAGTCGGATAATTGTTCAGATATTGAATCGGTTACATAGAACAATTACACTACAAATTCTGATAAGTAGTCGAAGGGATTCGCCAAATTTTCTAATTTTTTAAAAATGAAATATTCCGTAATGATATGCATATTATTCCAAAAGAGTTCGGTTCAAAAATTTCGAAGAAAACCAGAGGGTTTAAAGCCGAATTTTGTAGTCGAAATCGCTTATAAGGACAGAAAAGGGATTTGAGACATTTTTTTTTTTAATTTTTTAAAAATGCAAAATTTTGTAAGTTTTCGTATCGAATTTGGTTCAGATATTATTTTTTCGGCAGATGGCTGTACTAAAATCGGAGAAAAGATCGATGTTTGGGTGTCACACCAATTAACAGAAAAAAGGAGGGATCGAATTTCCAACTGCGAAGCCATGGCCAAACGGAATGAGATACTTCCATTTCTTAAACGGATGGTGACTGGAGATGAAAAATGGATCACATACGATAAACCTGTACGAAACGATCGTAGTCAAATAGCGGTGAAGCACCTCAAACGGTGGCTAAACCAGGACTAACGGCCAGGAGGGTTCTGCTATGCATTTGGTGGGACTGGAAGGGTATTATTTATTATAAGTTGCTTCCATATGATCTGATTCTGATATTCACTGTCAACAACTGGACCGTTTGAAGATAGCAATTGACCAAAATTGGCCAACAGGACATGTATAATGTTCCACCAGGACAACGCTAGGCCACACACATCTACAGTGACTCGCCAGAAACTTCTGAAGCTTGCTTGGGAAGTTTTAATGCATCCGCCATACAGTCCGGTGCATTGCAACATTTCTTTAATGATAAAAAATTGTATCTAGGAAGGATTGTGAAAATCGACCACTATAGTTTTTTTTTACAAATAGAAAGCAGGACTTCTATGAGAGAGGCATTATGAAATTACCTTTAAAATGGCAACAAATCATACAACAAAACGGTGCATATTTGGCTCAAATCGAACATTCTGAAGCATGTTAAATAAAGTCCTATAGTTCATATAAAAACCTAATATTATCCTTTTCGAAATTGATTTAAGTTTCGAAAAATATCGCCATGTACAAAGCTGTATGAAATCGGTTACTGCCTTCGACAGTTATCTTGTGCACCAGCCAGACAGACGTCCATTTGTAAATCGACTCCAAATTATCTTAAACGGATATGGTCTAAAGGAACTTCGAGTCTAAAATCAACATTACGATTAGCATATTTTTTCGTAACATAATCATAAGGCTGAGGATATAGTTATTTTAGCTTCCCAATGTAAATAACTGTTCTACTACAAAAACATATATATAATCCTTAACATCGTATTTGCCATCTTAGTTACATATATATATTGTTATATGTATACATTATATTATATGCATACAGTAATACATATATACTCGATACAGATTCCCCCCATTGACTACAAATTCCCACAAAAACAGAATTCAACAAAAAAAGTAATAAATATGTATGTTGTGAATAAAAGTAATAACTGTCAACATCACACTAAGAAGGTTTCAATTTAGACATAAAAATGCCGCCTTACATGTTGTTGTACATAAAAAAAGACAACCACAACAACAAAAACTACTGAGCAATAATAAAAGGATGACCCAATTAATGAAAACAAACGAATAATTAAATTATAACCCCAAAAAGAGCTGACAAATGAAAGTAAAGACTTTGTGTGTACGAAATGCCCAAGGATATTTTGGACACCACCAACACCTGTCTGGGGCACCAACAGTCAACCATCCCTCCCTCGATGTGTACAGAAACAACAACAAAACCAAAAATGAAAGTTTTGTCTTCTTTTTTGTGTCATCCTTGAAACATGGATGGCTGACTGGTCGGTTGGTTGACTGAAGACATCAAGATAAAGGACGAAAAACAATTACGTTGTAAAAATAATATTTTCTCACATTACTCACACACTAAAGACTATGCTGCACGCATACACAAACGACCAACAGACACTAATAAATAAGGCAACATGAAAACATTTTAACACACGCCACCAAAAAAGCCCCGCCAGAAGAGAAGAGGGTATTTAAACATAGCAGGACAATGTAAACATTGCCGGGGTGATAGAATCTCCTTTTGGGCAAAATGGAAATCAACACAAACACACGCACACATACACTCTTTTGCAGAAACCCATAATTGTCAACTCTTAAAGAAGGTTGTCTTTACGTTGTTGTCCCCCTAAAATTAAAATATGCTTCTTCGGAAAGCAGGACAATCGCACAATAATAAATACCTATTATGCTGAGGCAGTGGCTGAAGGAAGGACATCGTCGTCGTCATTGCCGCTGCCATAAAACGTTTTTTTTTCGTTTTGCGTGATCACGGCGAATTTCCCTGCGATGACTATTGGCTAGGGTTGGATGCGATAAATTAAGTCAATGGCATAAATATGACAAAACTGGTCAAACAAAAAACAGCAACACAAACAAACACACACACAGCTCAATATACAACCGATAATTTTCAGAAAATAAAAAATATACAGCCTTCGCAGAATATAAGGGAGTGGGTAAAGAAACTCTTTGTGAGGATAATTCATTGCAGAAAATGCAAGATTGTAGAGCCCAAAAACTTTGAAAATTACTTAAACAAATATTATAAACATTTTCAAATGTCCTTTAATATTATGTTGCAGAATTTTATGTGGCCAATATTTGCTCAAAATACGCTTAGAAATTATGAAATTTCCAATGAGCGGGTTTATGCGCATGACGACGCCATAATAAAGGGGTTTATGCTGAGATAACCATCAGACAGTGGCGAATGGGTAACCCCTAATTTTAAAAGATTATAAACTTATTATAGATTATGCAGGACAATGACTTTAGGCGTTATGAAAAAAAGCTGATAGAATAAATATTCATTGTTGTGTTTCGATAAGCGAAGGCTAACAAAATATGAAGAGAAAATGTATGCCAAGTAAAAATGACAATACAACGGCGAGACTAAAATTCAAAATACCATATAATAAAAATAAACGAGTAAAAATGTATCAGTCAATAAATTTTTTATCAAAGAGTGGACCATCTGAGGTACCAGATGACGTTGCTTTATGTACCCCATATTCGGATTTAAAGTAGGTTTGATAAAATACTACAATGTTCAAACTATGAATGAAATCTCCTTATTTAATTCGCTTTAAAACGTGTGGATGGATCCCATTTTCGAAGTTAATCTAGGCTTAGTAAAAATATTACTATTTGCAATGTTATGATCAAATAGTACGCCTAATATTGGATTAACAAATTTTCTAAATGTTCACACATTGTGAGGCAGATATGGTAAAGATTGTAGTTTGTAAAAAAGTTTGGTTCTAATCAGATAGTGCGTTTATTTGACATTATGAACATTTTGTGGGAAAGATAATAGAATGGGTGGACCGATCTTCGATCTTAATTTAAGTTAGGAAGAAATGTCTCTCTCTCTTCGGAGTTATCGTGCACACCAGCTAGTCGACCGGCCTGACAGACGGACATGCATAAAGCGACTCCAAATTGTCTAAAATGGATTTGGCCTAAAGAAATATGGGATCTAAAACCAATATTTCGATGAAGCACATTTTTGCCGTATGAAAGTGTATGTGCCCTCATTAGTCATAAGGCTGAGGGTATAAACATAAATCAGGCTATCCAATGAGTGTAATCCACTATGGACCACGAATTTCGATTGGCACGATATTTGAATGGAAAAGTACATGAGTACTTAAAGTGGGGTCTTGCAGTATTATTTCATGTTTGTTTATATACATTGATTACCTTGTAACGTGAATGGCGAATATTACGTATATTTGAAGGAATGGAAAATCGCTGTGCCACTAAATAATACTTGTGTCACAAACCTCTAAAAATTAGGCTCTAAATTTTAATCATATCCACCGCATTCTCCAGATCTCTCAAAATTACTTCTTAGATAGGGGACATCGAGGTCTATTATGAAGCAAAAGATAAAATAAAAAAAATGGTAGCGTAAAAACTAGGGTCGCTTTAGTCAGTCATATCAACAATGAAGTGAACGGGAGAAAAACGGGGCGGGAGAAAAAAATGGAAAAATATACAAAGTAGTGAGGCACTTGGATGCATTAGTTAAATGTTTGGGAGGTACCGCACAAAAGAGAACTTAATGATTTATAATGATACATATTGACTCTTCATGGTAATTATACATAGTTGATTCTGAGTTATACCGAATTATACAAAATACAACACAACGGATTATTATCATTATTATATAATATCTTATGGGACGAACATCAAGTTCCTTAATAATTGTGATTTTTAACGAAATATTCTTTTTGCACTTACCGTTTAGTATACCGATCGTCATATTCTCCATTTCTGCATGAAGTAAGTCAATTCGACTCATACAAGTTTTTTTTGTGAAGAATATTTTTCAACTTAATTTAAATACAATATTAATTAACAGAAATCTTATCGAAATCGTTTTTTTACATATAAACCTAATCAATTTTATACCCTTAGTCCATGGTACAATTATAAAAGGTAACAGCAAATCCCAGCTGATTTGATTCCAACGTAATACTAGTGTCAATATGAATTTGACAAATTATGTTTTTAAAAATCACCCAACAGGAAAATTGGGAACGCATACAATTTGAAATTGTTCTTTATTAATGTGCTCCCGTATTCAATTTACTCAATCTGCCTGCTGGGAAAGTTTGAGGAAGCAAATCTTTCTTGAAGGAATTACTCGCTATTACCAGCATTGTCATATGTGTTACACATATATATGGCAATGGCTCAATTAAAGGAAAGATGTGGAAGCGATAGAAATATAAATTTGATAGATTTTCATTCATGTTTTTCAATTTTTATTTTGAGGATTCGAAAATATTCTATTTTCAAAATAAAAATAATTTGATGATAATTTGTTTGTTTACATTTTTCTGTCAAATGAGTTGATACTAGTAGAACTTACAACAAAAAATTTCCATGTGGTTGTTGTATCGTTTTTTGTACAACAACACTTACTGTTACTTTTTATTATTATACCATGCCCTTAGTCTTAGGGCTGAAATGTCTGTCTAGCCACTATAAATCCCGAAAGGAGTTACCGATTTAATCCAAACTTTGGACATCGTAATAATTATTTCAAACATTATACCATTTCGAAAATAGGGAATCAAATATCTCCTTCAGGTGCCTCCTCCCCGAAGTCGATTTAATTTAGCTGAGAAATAAAAATGAAAAATGTTCGAAATATTGGTTTAGGACCCCATGTTTCTTAAGACCAAATACGCTTCAGACAATTTGGATTTGATTTACAAATGTCCGCCTGTCTGGCAGCTGGTGCGCACGATAACTCTCGAAGTAAGTAACCGATCTCATCCAAACTTTGCACAACGTAATATTTCTACCAAGTTCGAAGATGGGGAATATCGGTCCATTCCTTTTAGTACCTATTCCACAAAATAGTCAACATTTAGCTAAAAGTTATTTTTTTAATTTTATGCGATTTTAACCAAACTTTGTACAATCTAATATCTTTACAAGGCCTAGATTAAGTTCGAAGATGGGGTATATCGGCCCAGTCCTTATGATACCTCCCCAACAAATGGTCAAAATTTGCAAAATTTATTAATTGAATATCAAGCGAATGGAATGTCCGATTTGAATCAAACTTTGTACAACCTATTATCTTTACCAAGCCTAGATCAAGTCCAAAGTTGGGACCCGTCGGTCCTCTCTTTGTAGTACCTCCCCCAAAAAGGGTCAGTATAAACTTGTAAATTTTATTTCATCTACATTAAATCCGAAACATTTTTAATAAAAACAAATACCTTATATAAAAAGAATAACCTGTGTGTAACGCCGAAGACCTCCGCAAAGCATAGGCTGAGGGAATATATATCTGTCGGCAACACCGACTGACACTTTTTTACTTCTTCAAACCTTGTTTGAATGCGAAAATGGAATTAATTAGTGAACTATTTTTAGTTCGTCCAATATAAAGAGTAAACATTTTTCGATATTTGTAAATCTCATACGAAGCTTACTGAGTATCCGATTAAACCCAAACTTCAAACCAAGTAAGATATTTACCCAATCTACTTTTTTTTTAAATATATGCAAATGCTTTGATTTTTAAGCAGTAAAGGGAGCTTTTTAATCGGACGGAGCCGAACATATGAGCTAAATCCTGAGCATGTGCACATTTTCACTACATTCACACCCCTTCCAAATATTTGTATAATATTAAATTTCCCTGCTTCTTACGTATACATTAGATGTATTTTTCTTATAGAGGAAAGTATATTTGGTGGTGTTGCCAATATTTTTTAATACCTTTGATTACATTTCTGTTTTCTTAAATTTACTTTCTTAAACAAAATAAAAATTTCGCTAATTAAGAACAGTAAATTTGCGTGACTTTTGCCAATTATAATTCAAAAACTAAAAAATCTGACTAATATTAAAAAAAAAAACAAAAACTCCTTCAACGTCATCAAAGTGTGCCCCGAAGAAAAAGAAACGCAAAACAACAGCGATGAAGATGAAATGAACGGTAAGTGGCACAAACCAGTATCTCTTGTCCTGTCTGCGATTTTGTCTTAAAGACCTAAATCGACTAAATTTCATGGCAATTATCTTCGACCATAAAAAGTGGTCATTTATGGCCATAGGCCATTTGAGAGGTAGTCCATGCTTAGAGGAGAAAAACTGAATTTTGAAATCACACACAAAAAAATCGCATAAAATTTGCTACCGAATTGAAAGGAATGTTGATGGTGCCCAGAATACCAAATTAATTTGCTAAATTATGAAGATCAACATTTTTGTGTGTGGGAGTAATAATAGGTGTTTAGTTTTTCGTATGGGCTTTGTTGCAATAATCAAATACGCATGCGTGCAGTTTTTGTGTGTTAGTGAAATAAAATATTTCTTATTCTTTGGACACAATAAAACAGACAAAAAATTAATTGCTGGGCGTTGTAATTGTTGGTTTTGTGATGGATTCCTTGTGTTTTTTGAGGGGTTTCTTTCTCCTCCGGTATTTGGCAGATGCAATTGCAGCAGCCAACTAACGCATTTTTAAGAAGAAATCATTATGTTTTAATTTGACAAAAAAAAACCGATAAAAATGAAATTATCCTTGACATGAGGGTAAGGAGTCAATGCACACACACACGCACACAAAGAATACTACTCTGTACTTAAAGTAATTTGGCTTATTAAAAAAACTTAGCCGCCAAAAACACACCAGCTCCCTTCAATGCTCCGAACATTTGAAGAGCCTAACATCCTTAAAGCAATGATGAAAACCATTTGTTCTTAATGATTTTGCCACGCGATCTTATTTTTCATACTCCAAAGGCAGCATGCGAGTGCAGGCAGTTCGAATGGCCAAAAAACTAACATCAAGGATGTTGTTTGCACATACACCAAAAAGGTAATCGCTTGTGTGCATTCGGTACGCTTTGTCCAAGAAGATGATCCCTACCATTCATCCATCCTGCCATCCACCTGCAAATGATCGGAAAGAAAATTACTGATGATGGCAGTGATGTAATAATGTCGGGTGCGTATCAACAACAAATATTGCAGTTGCA